CCTGCAAACCCCTACCATTCTGTGATTCGGTGGTTTATCCTGGTCCCTAATGGAAGCAATGTAGCTGGAGTGGGGTGTTTTGTGGTTTGTTTTTGGTTTTTTTTTCAAATGGAGGTCTCTCTGGAGTGTTTGTAGTCCTCAATACTCTCTGTCAATAACGCTTGTAAAATACAAAAAAAACTTACCTAAAACTTAGCTGAAAGACATTTTTTGGGAGGAGGGAGGTAAAAGTACAGAATACAACAAAATACGTTGGGAGCTTGATGTCTGGTCATACGTGTTTGAAAACAGTTTGCAGTAAACACAAAGCCTGATCAGATGTTTCCCGGATGTTGTGGGGAGATGGCTTTCTGCTACCTAGGGTTAACGTCTCGTTGTGTTTGGAACACGGTAATGTGGGCTTTTCTCCCCTGTACCCAGCACTTATCCTGGAGGAGATTGCGATAGACTGTCACAACAAGGAGACTGAGCAGAGGTTACTTCAAGAAGCTCACGACTTACATCTGTCCTCACTGCAGTTAGCTAAAAAAGCCTTCGGGGAGTTTAACGTGCAAACAGCAAAACACTATGGCAACCTTGGAAGACTGTACCAGTCCATGAGAAAGTTTAAGGTATGAGTCTATTGATACAAAGGTCTTGACTTAAAGTCTGCAAGGCATCTATAAATCTGTCACAAGAAACGATGATTTTCAGTGTCCACAATTCATAACTTAAGTTGGTGGTTTTATGGTTGGAAAACTTCTACTTTATAGTTTATTTCTCCAAAGCTTTGTGCAAAAATGATCCATTGAGATGTCTCTGCAGAGACAGGGCACAGCAATTTTAACAGAAAAGGTGATACTGTTTGCTGATCCATTTAACTAAGAATGCAGAAAACTTTATTTGTCTTTGACTTACTTTTTGCCTTTTACAAAATACCACAGACTCTTTAGCCACTACATAGTTATGTTTCCTTTAATCTTCCTTTTTTTTCCCCCCCTTATCTTTTTACGGCACGGTGAGTGGTGTCTGACTGACCTGTGTGAGTTTGGTCCCCACAGGAAGCAGAAGAAATGCACATCAAGGCAATTCAGATTAAGGAGCAGCTTCTGGGTCAAGAGGATTATGAAGTCGCGCTGTCCGTGGGTCATCTAGCTTCTCTCTATAACTACGATATGAATCAATATGAAAATGCTGAGAAGCTTTATTTGAGATCCATAGCGATTGGTAGGTGATTCTTAAAGCGTGTGACTATACAGCAGTCGTAATGATACAGGAAACACTGTCAAAAAGCATATCGAAGCGTTCAGAAAAGAACCGAAGGAAATGCAAGGTGTTTCTTTTGGATTTGTTTTCGATCTAAATATGATGCTTTGGCTTGAATGTTCTCTTGGGGACTGAATTCTGGGATTGCGTTGTTCTCCGTGCTCCAGCAGAGCTCACTCTTGAAAGCATCTGGAAACTGGCTGACTGAAAGCTTGGGTGTTGGTCTTTACGCTGCGTTTTGGAGTTGTGGCTGAACTGGAGTGCAGAATCTGTTAAATTTCGGGAAAAAATAGAAAACTGTTGTGCCCATCAGCCTCACTGTGCTCTCATTAAATATTTTTGTCTGTTATCATTTGCAGTGAACTTACAATTCCAAATCAAATGCATGTTTGGGCCATGCTGTACCGCAGTTTTAAGACAGACAATCTTACTTCGTACAGTTATGTGCAGTGCATTGCAGGAAGATCTATGATTGTAAGATAGAAAACTGAAAATTAACTTCACTGTTTAAATTGAATTCAGAGTGAGACTGGGATGCAAAATGACTTCCTTCTTTATACGACTGGTAGGTTCTATGCATGTAAAGCTGAATGCCCGGAATGTGGAGTCCCTGAGGACAAGTTACAGTACCCGTGAAGGAGAAGGCAGATAGGGTTCAAACCGCCATCCAGGCACCCCATCGGTCATTACTACTCATCAACAGCATCTAGAAAAACTGAAGCGAAAAATGTTTGGGGAATTTTAATTTTGTGTTCTTTTGGATTTCTTTAGGAAAGAAGCTGTTTGGTGAAGGATACAGTGGACTTGAATATGATTACAGAGGTCTCATTAAACTGTACAATTCCATTGGCAATTACGAGAAAGTTTTTGAATACCACAACGTTTTGGCCAATTGGAACCGGTTGCGGGATCGGCAGTTCTCCGTCACAGATGCTCTGGAGGACGTAAGCACCAGCCCTCAATCCACTGAAGAAGTGGTCCAGTCTTTTCTGATGTCTCAGAACGTTGACGGACAGAGTAGCTAAGAACTCGGTCAGTTAACCAGTTACGGTGTTTTCCCCCAGGTTACAGGGGGAAAAGTCATACTGTGAAATCTAAACCATGTAGTTCTCTGGGGGCTGGAATTTGCGTTGAAACACTGGTCCAGTCTACTGAAGAGTGCCCATACGGATGAATGTGTGTTCAATTCTTCTCAGCATGTGTATGGCATGTTTAGTTCGGCTCACATTTTTAACTTGGTATTCCTGAGAACCCCTTCTTTCTCTCTTCTTTCAAAAGAAGCTACTTTGCAGAAAGTCTGCAAGAAAACGTTAAATAAAACTGTTTGAGTTCAAAAGAGTTGCTTTCTTATTATGAATGGAAGGTTTCATCAAGAACTTTATTCTGATAGAGAAAGAATAAATGCTGTACTATAAGAAGTTGTAAGAGAAAGGTCTGTCTGCTGTATGCATTGTAGCAAAGGTAACCGTAAATACCGAGAAAAGGGAGAACGCGCTAGCCTTGGCTGCTGCCTGATGAAGGAAAATGGCAAGGAGCCGCTCTGGAGAGCAGCACGCTCTGCGTGACCCACGCTAGGCTGTTAAGTGAGTAACCGCCGTACGTTGTTTCCAATACCCTGAACTGGACCAGTGTTCAGCTGTGAGCGAGAGAAGATCCAGTAGACCAGCAGTCTTAGCTCTCCTTGGTACCCACCAGGAGCGCTCATCTTCTGAACAGGACCAGGAAAAGCGAAAGTGGACCAGCCTGCTAGAAACAGTCTTTGGACCAGTGGCTTTAATTTAATATTTCTGCCCCTGCATTCACTTTTACAGTAGAATTATTTCATTTAGATGTATGATCAGTGCAAAACTATATTCATGTAATAGATACAAAACTAGGAAGTGAACGTTCTTTAGCGGTTGCGATGGCATGTCTTTACCTAGTGAGCTTCTACAAATGTTAATGTCAGTGCCACAAGCGAAAGCTAGAAACGCTTAACTCTTTGCTGCAGCCATCTTTTTTTCCTTTTTGAATGGGCTTACTCTAATAATTGAGGCAGTAACTCGTTTATACTGGTTAATAGTTTTGTATTACAATCCAGTTCAATTTTATGTTTCTGGAGAACACAACTTACTGTACAGTTTGCAGGGGTCAGCAGAAAATGCCAAAAAGCACAACAGGTCTTTTTTTGTGATGCTTCATTTCTACATTAAACGATAGTACAACCAGAAACCGATTCCTTTATATTAATTTAAAAAGCAGAAGTCAGCTGTAAAGATCCTTCGATAATGCCTATCTCACTAGCTTGTCTTAATTTTTCTTTTGTTGGGGAGGGGCCGCTTGGTGTGTGGGGTGTTTTTTTTTTTTGTTTGGGTGTTTTTGGTTTTGTTTTTCTAATGTTGAGGTAATACTCATTTGAAAGTCTGTGTAACATAGCAAGCTAGCAACACCTCGCTGCTGTTACCTCAGTTCTTATAGTGGCACCAGCAGAATTCTGTCTGTTCGGGGGTTCACCCTTCCCCCTGCCTTCAGGGGTTTCCCGGGGCCATGGAAGGTCGGGCTGGGGCTGGGGGTTCTGTTCGGGGCTGGGGTTTAACTTGCTTGGGAAGCTTGGGACAGGGAAAGCTGCTTGCTGGGCTGTGAGGAGGAGTGCGGAGAAGGGACAGAAATCTCAGACATGACTTCGAGCTTAACGGCTCTTTTAAGAACTGAAATTTTACAGGCAAATAGTTCGTATACTCGTGCCTTCAAGTACATTTTGGGGGGAAAGACTGAATAATACCAACTTTAAAATGCAGTTATGTAATTAGCGAATGCAGATTTAATGATTGCATGCTTGGAATATCCTGATGTGAAAAGAAGTATTTGCGTAAAACAAACAAAACCCCCTGTGGTATTAGGACTTAGACTGCAATATATCCTCAACGGCTGTTCAGTGAAAATCCAACTTGAAATTGTGTGTGGATTTAAAATCTGATTTCCTCATAGCAATTTTTGTTTGACTGCTTTAGGTACTACAAACAAATTTGGCTATCTGTGAGGTGAAGTATTTTTATCTTTGAATGCAAATACAGCAAGGCACTGATGAATTATAAAGTTCTTACAGATTCTTTTCTTAAGTCCTGTTAGAATTATTTAAAATTAAGTGAAGTATGTAATACTAGTGTCAGAACTTAGGCAGGAACGGCACGCTTAAAATTGTCCTAAAGAAGCTGTGTCATTTCTGCACTGCAGCAGTGTTTGAAAGCTTCAGACACGTTGTCTGGAGACCATTCCCTTGCTCAGGTTTCCAGCCTTGGGTCTCCGTTTTCAGCTTTCGACTGAGGAATCTCTGAGCTCTCGAGGTTTTGTGTTTGGGATGCGGAGCGTTGTTTGACTGGTGCTGGTGAAAGCGGTCTACACGAAGCGCTGCTGTTATTTCAGTGTTCCGTGGTTTGCCTCCAAGGCAGGGCAGCCAGGAGAGCTTCCAGCGCTGGGCAGGGTAGCGAGGCGTCACGCTTCTGTCCGGTAACCAAATGCCTTGGTTCAGTTTGTTGAAGCGGTGGCTTTATTCTCAGATCTTGCTGGGTGCAGGTACTTTCCTTTCTCTGCTGAAGCTGCTTCACCAGCATGTCACGTATGTTAGCGTGTTCGCGTGTCTGGAAGGAGCCAAGGTCCTGAAAGTCACCCAGAATTCTCTTTGATAACGGGCTTTGGCCAAGAGTAGTTGCAGTGATCGCTGTGGGACTACTAGCACGCTTTTCACATGACTGAACTAAATCCTGACTTGACTCTTGAGTTGAGCGTCTCGTCGTAGCATCTCCGCAGTCTGGTCATGCCAAGGCACAGAAGCTCTGGAGAGAGGTGGCTGTGGCCGATTGCTGAAGCTGCTCAAGCACAGGAGCTTTGCGGAGCAGCCTCGCAGCTGCCCCCCAAGTGCTCTGTTGCCTGCTCTGCATGCTGTGGCTTGGAACCTTCACCCAGCGCTCTCCTGCCTGCGGGTGTATTGCTTACTTTCCAAGTAATAACGTAAAACTGACTGGTCTAGTTTTTGTTCTGTGTCTCCTAAGTCGAGCTCTCAGAAGATGTCTGCCTTGGCAGCTGGAGACCGTTTGAAATGTGGCGTTAGTGGTGGAGTCCTGTGGCTGTCTCTGCTGTTGCAGTCGGTCGGTTGATACTGTTGAGAAAGCAGGAGTCCAGCTGGATGACTTCAGCGAAGGTAAATGACTTCTCCCCCCCGGCACTGTGGCTGGAGGAGATCGTGGAGTATTCGGGCAGGATTTCCTGACTTCTCGCCAGGCAGAGCTGAAGGAGCGGAGGGGGCCGTGCCCTGCGCCCTCCGTCCCGCGCGGTTCTGCAGCGCTGAGCTTGCCGACGCGAGCCCTGCGCCTCCTCGCTCCCCTCTGCGGCAGAGCCGGGCGATTCCGGGGAAGCGGGGGGCACTGGGGACGGGGGCGGCCTGGCAGCACCGGGAGAGCCCCTGCCCCTGGACTTCAGTAGCCCACTATGAAACATTAGATGAAGTTAATTAATTACTGGCATTTGTACACGCACAGTGCACCGACTGCCAGCTGGGCAGGTGCTGCTTGGTGCTGGTGTCAAGAGGGAGACCTGGGAGTGGAAATCCAGGGAAATGCCACTTCCGAGGTTTTTTTCGTGAAGGTAAGTAATTTAATCGCAGCAGAGTAATGGGACACAAGTGGTGAGGACAGGTGTCACCTTAAAATTATTTTAACTATTGCTCAAGTTAAATGCTTAAGATTTTATTGTCAGCATAATGTTGTTTGAATCCGTAATTTGCATGTCCTGCTTCAGTGAACACTGCAGCTTGCGAAGGGAGGACGGTGATGTCGGGATTCCTCCACTGGTCTTGGGACTGGGGCTGTGTGGGATGACCAGTTGCAGAAGGGGAAAGGTGCACAAAGGTTTGGAGAGCTGACAAAAGGGGGAGGGGACAACTGCAGAAAGGTGTTTGAAAATAAATACATCCCTCGGCTACTTGAAGTAATGCAGCTCGCGACTGTTGGGCCCCAAAGGGTTGTTGGTCACTGTTACAGCGGGACATGAGTGACAGGCATAAGTGTCTGCCTCCGTGTCCGAGTCTCCACGTGCGCCCTTTGCTCCGTATCGATGCCTGTTGTTTCAGACTTCTTTGGTTTTGCACATGGTTTTTGTGAAATAATTTTGTAGGGGTTTTGTTGTTGAATTCTAACTTATCAGGACAACGATGTTCTTCCTGTGACTTTAAATATGAAGTTCTTTAAACGTGCTGCAGTCTGGAATTTGCTAAAGGTGCCATTGCGCTGCTTCTCGTGGTACAAAAAATGCACATTTCACTTGATTTCCTTTTTATAGTCCTCCGTATTGGCAGAGTACAAAAAGGAAAACGCATCGTGCCTAAAGCATGATTGGAGCTATTGACAACAACTTCCCGTGATTTAGGTGGATTGGATTTGACTTTGCGGGCTAGCAGCAACTCACGTGGGGGAGGTGTTGCCATTCCCAGTCTCTGAGCGGAGAGCCTTCCCTCTGCTGCCTCTGCAGAAACCCTGTTTTACCTGGAGGTCGTCGTTTCCCTTTTTTTCCTCATGTTCTATCATAAGAAAATTACTGGCCAGACGTTAGCTGCAAGCCTGACGCCTGGTTGCGGGTGTCTCCGTGGTTGACACACTGGCCTGTTGTGCATTGTGTTTCTTGGCCTTGCGAGGATTTCTGAGAGAGGCAGGGGAGAAATTCCTTTTACCTAGAAATCAGCTAAACTACGTGCGGAAAATTGGCAGCACCGGTATTGCTTTTGTCCCGAGATCTCAGGAATGCTTTCGGCAGCGACGCAGGTATCCCGTCGGTGATAGAAAGGTGCGTGCGCGAGGGTCTGGTTTAACAATATTTCGTTGCAATCCTAGGTATCTATAGCATGAGTGGCCTTAGTGAGTTTGTTGAAGTGCACATTTTTTTTTTTCAAAAGTAAATTTTAAGATGAAAAAGATATATACTATATAAATATATAGAGATATTTAGAAACTTGGTTTGTGGTGCACAAGTTTGGTGTTGGATCGCTAAATAATTGTCACAGGTACCATATGTGTAACTTCTTTTATGTATATTCCTTTATGGGAAGCGATGTTGCCATGGTAACTACAACTTTACAGTTTCTTTACTACTTAATGATGTGAATGAACTCTACATTTTATTGAATATTACCAGGTTCAGTACTATTTTTATACTTTATTGAACTACAGGGGATTTTAATTTAATAGCATTTTAAAAAAGATGTTGCTTGAACTGTATAACTGTATAAATCGAACTACTTATACGAAAACCACCTCTAAACCAGAATCTCTACCTGTAGTGCCACGTTCATTTATACGAGAGTATCTTGACCATTACTAGACTTGGAAGACCACCCTACTTGTCGTGTCGAGACTAACGTTTCGTATCCCACTTCTCACAGACTGCAGTGCCCGACATTATTTGTAACCATCAAACCATACTATGTTTGTAACCAGCATTGTGATATTCTGTAATTGTATCGCTAAAATGAAATATTGACCTAATAAATATAGTGTTCCCGCATTTGGAAGTATCTGCGTTGAATTTGGTTAAAACTTTGCTTTCGATAAATACCAGCCCTCTTGCTCCCCCTTACCACTGCCTCATCAGAACGAGTGGAAAAGTGGAGGTTTGGCTGTGTCTGCTTTTCAACAGGGAGTTAGTGCGAGGCTGGAAGTTGGGCTGAGCTGAGCGTAGCTTCCACGGCGCTGACGCTGGCTTGCAGCGGGTCTGTCGTTTTTCTGAGCTATTCCACCAGTGTTCCCTGTGTTCTGGCACGTGTCCCGGCTGGCGCCTTGGAGGAGAGCTGCAGACCTGCCTCCAGTGAGTTGGCTCCCACCTCTCCACCGCTCGCTGCAGCGCAGCCCTGCCCGGGGTGCGAGCACAGTCAGTGCTGCTGTGGGTTTAATTAATGAACCGTGGGGAGAGCAGGTCCTGCGGTCAGTCTGCAAGTCCGTCTGGTTTGTCCGGTCAGCTGCAAAACCCAAAGCCATCTTGGCCGGATAACTTCTGGTGCCGTCACTGCCAGTGTCACCAGAAGAAGCCGTACAGAGCTGATCGTTTCCCTGAGCAGGGTGATTTGGCTTCCGTCAGTCTATGATCGTACAGCTCTGGGAGTGCTTTCATTGTAGCTGACCCCTTCGTTTTGTGTTTGATACTCCTTCCTGTAGATGGAGTTGTAAATCTGGTTGCCTTTTCA